ACCACGATACCAACGAAGCTCTCGCTGGCTCATCGTGGAGTCTGCCTTCAGGCGAAGATCACACGAATCATGGCGTAAAGATAAAGCGCGTCTACCGTACGCTTGACCGGCAGGCAGTTGCGACAGATCCCTGAGGACTCTCAGAATCCCGCCCATATTTATGAAAATGCAGATAGCATCTCTGAGGACCCTTCAAATCTCACATTTACAAAAATAGCTTGTTCACTTTCAGTTAAGACCTATTGTGAATGGAGTGGACGTCCAAGTACAAAAAAGTGCACAAACCATCGAAATTTGGGTATAGGTCTATCAGCAGGAATTCAGTGCAGATGTCGCGGATCGCGTGGTTGAACCAGCGGCCACACGAGCACGAGAACCGTAAAACCTACTACATACGTTCGCCACACTACACAGTGACGCTGCAGATGATTTGTGGTCGATCAAGAGTGTCGAACATCACAATACAGTGAACAATCACAATTTCTCCGTGCAATACTCACTTCGAACGACGTCGACACTCATATTATTGTGTGTGGATGGATTTTGACTAGGGTTACGGACTGGGACACGGCTTCACCTATGATCAAACGCTGTCCATGTTCTCCACATAGAAAGTAGCCAATGAAATATCGAAAACGGACTTCATCGTCCGCTGTATCCACATAGCCACGCCAACGAGTACTGAAACAAAGGAAGGCAAATAATGACCACAAGCCAATGGGCTAAGAAAAACCCAAGAGAACAACTCACGGTCGGTCGGCATCCTGAGTAAGTGTTTTGGCTTTGAGAGGGTCCCATTTTCCAAGGGACGATGTTGAACCAGTAACGAGTACAAATTCAGACGGCTGTAGATCTTCGACGTCAACGGCAAAAAAGACCCGTGCCGTCGGTCGGCTGCTAGACATCTGAACCAACCACATATTACGTAAACGCGCTAGGAGTTACGACAAAGATAGTAACAGGTTTGATAAGAACGTTCAATGAGCGCAAGGCTTGCTCTTTCAGATAAATTGGGAAAAATAGAGGTGCTGTGTGTCCCAGAGGGGCTCACTCTACAAGTGGCTCACTCTGTAGAGGAGGAAGGGGGGGGGGGAAGGGGAATAGGGAAAGAGGAAAAGTGTCAATGCGCGTTTACACTCTGCGGCAACGTTTTGAGAGTTCTTAACGACTAGGGAACTAAAGGTATCAATCTAGCGTTTTGAGCGTCCACCAGCACTTTCAGCGACCAGGAAAGTACATGTATTGATTATCACTGAAAACACCCAGAACGCTGGGTCGATACCTATACTTTCCGAGTCGCTCAAAACGCGCCGCAAAGTATGAATGCACCCTCGTGTTGTTAGTTCCCAAACATTTCACACTGCCTCGGTGAGAGGACGAGCAGATATGACGTGGCTCAACTCCACAGGCGAGCAGGGAACGTTCTGCCGTTGGGGAAAAGCTTTGCAAAACTCCCTTCCAAATGCCCTGTTACGACCCCCCCCCCCTTCTCATCCCTCATGCCACTTAGCGTAGCGTAAATTCTTTCAGCTCATTATCGGTTCCCCCAGTTTTCCTAAAAGAAAACCAGGACACATCATTGGCCGGGATATTGGTCGTTTCCGTACGACCCCCTTTTCTTCAGAGGCTGGGACCCCCCCTCTGGAGTGGGGGAGGGGGTGCTTGATACGACTCCCCTCCCGAATACGACTCCCACC